TTTTTTAAATAAAGACAAGGTCTTGCTATGTTCCCTAGGGTGGTTTTGAACTCCGGGCCTCAAGCAGTCCTTCCTACCTTGGCCTCCCAAAAAGTTAGGTTTACAGGTGTGAGCCACTTTGTTCGGCCCCCATTAAAATATTTTTGCCAGCAATATTTAAGAGATTGTCATTCTTTTTTATTTATGTTTTTCTGATAGATGCATAGTGATAACTCATTGTGGTTTTAACTTGCATTTCCGTAATGACTAATGATGTTATGAGAATTCTGGATATGAGGTTATGTCTGATACATGGTTTGTGAATATTTTCTTCTGGTTTGTAGCTTGTCTTATATTATTCTTTTAATATTTCATAGAGTAAAAGTGTTTAATTTTGATGAAGCCTGTTTGTCATTTTTTAAAAAATGGATATCGCATTTAGTGTCATGTTTAAGAATTCTTTGTTTAGCTTAAGATTGTGAAGATTTTTTTCTAGGTTTCCAAATAGGTATATTTAGCAGTTCATGTTTTACATTTTATTAATTTACTATAGGATGTTTCATCTGAAGTTGAGGTTTTTATTATTCTATTGGGAGACTCAATTCTTTCAATAACATTTGTTGAAGACTATTCTTTCCTCATTGCATTTGCACTTTGGTCAAATGTCAGTTGATCACATTCTTGTGGGTCTATTTTTGGACTTTCTATTCTTGTACATTAGTCTATGTGGTTGTCCATACTGTCTTGTTTGCTATAGCTTTGTAGTCTTAAAAAAAATTTTTTTTTAAAGTAGGATTTATTGAGAGGACTGAAAAGCTCCCACAGTGGGAAGGGACCTAAAGGGGTTGTCATAGTCTTAAAATTGATTAGTGTGATTTCTCCCTTCATTACTCTTCTTGCCTTTTCGTATTAATTTTATTATCAACTTGTCTACAGCTACCAAAAAGTCCTGCTGAAATTTTTGTTCAAAGAAGCACATTTTTACTTGTCTTTAGAAATTAGTTTGTTTTGATTAGTAAATCCATGTCCAAGACTGAGTCTACCTTAGAACCAGAGGGCATCAGTAAAGGTAACTTCCTTGGTGCATGTGTTCCTCAGTCTCCCTGCCCTACCGCAGCCTGCCCATAGGTCCCTTGTGAACCTTTCTAGATGGGATCTTTCCAGACTTGCAGGAGAACCATGTGCTTTTGTCATCTCTCAAATGTCAGACTGTAAATATTCTTGCACCCTGTGCTTCTTTTCCTTAACTCTACATTCGGCTCTGTTTCATGCCGAGAAGGGCTTCAGAGTGCCCCATGACTCTGAAACAGACATACAGAATTGCTTTTTTAAAATGATGGCTAAATATGCATAACATATTTATTATTTTAATCATTTTTTGAGTGTACTATTCAGTGACATTAGATACATTCACATTATTACTATCTACACTAAAGACTTTTTCATCATCCTCAACATAAATTCTGTACCTATTAAACAGTGACTTCCCATTTCCCTTTCCCCTAGTCCCTGATAACTCTATTCTGTTTCTATGAATTTGTTTATTGTAGGTACTTCATATACCATATTTGTCCTTCTGTGTCTGGCTTCTTTCACTTAGCATAGTGTTTTCAAAGTTCCTCCATGTTGTAGCATCTATCAGAATGACATTCTTTTTTAGGCAATGTTGTATAGATATAGAACAGTGTTGAATAGAATGGAACATCATAGATATACCACAATTTATCATTTAATCTTTTGATGGACACTTGGGTTGTTCCCACCTTTTGGCTGTTGTGAATTATGCTGCTGTGGGTATATGAATAACTGTTCAAGTCTCTGCTCTTAGTTCTTTTAGATATATACCTGGTGGTGGAATTGCCAGGTTATATGGTAGGTAGTTTGATGTTTAACTTTTTGAGAAATGCTTAGCTCATTCATAGTGGCTGTAGCCTTTTATGTTCTTACTAGCAATGCAGGAGTGAGAGTTCCAATTTCTCTACATCCTTGCCAATACTTATTATTTTCTATTTTTAAAAAATTTATAGCCATCCTAGTAGGTATAAAGTGGTCTCTCATTGTGGTTTTGTTTTGTGTTTCCTTAATGATTAGTGATGCTGAGCATATTTTCATATGCTTATTGGCAGTTTATGTATGTGCTTTGAAGAAATGTCTGTTCAAGTTCTTTGCCTATTTAAAAAATTGTTTTAAATTGTTGATTTTAGGAATTTGTATATTCCTAATGTTAAACTATGAGATATATGATTTGCTGATATTTTTTCCCATTCTGTGGGGTTATCTTTTTGCAAATATGTTCTTGGTGAAACTGGCTTCAGCTCACTTTTGCTCTCTGAGCTTTTTTCGCTTAGTTTTATCTTTTATCCTCTCAGTATTCCTTTCCGACTTCCAAGCTCACAGACATACAAGTACTTTAAAAAATACCAACAGAAACCCTTGTTGATAGGTTTTTAGTTTTGTAATTAAGAGGTATATTGGATTTCAATTTTTTGGATGTGATGTTTAGCTAGTGAGACATTTGCAGCAACCTGTACCAGATCCTTCTAGCTTATGGTGGCTTCCTGCTGAGTCCCTTGTGTATGTAGAGATGGTATTGTCTGTTTACCATTTGCTGAATGAGGGAGGAAAGGGCAAAGAAGTGAACTAATACTTATTGGGGTCTGTTATCTTCAAGAAACTTGATGTGTATTTTCTCATTTAGGAGACATGATATACTTCTGTACAAGTTTGTGTTACAAGCAAAATATTTTAACTCTTCTTAGAGAGTTTTTTCCTTTGTCTTATCTTATGTTTTCTTTTCCTCAAAGCAAATACCATTATAGATATTACCATTAGATACTTGCAAGGTAGTACTAGAATATTATTAAATATCTGTTAGAGCAACTAAAATCAAATTTTGGTAAGGATATGGAGCAGCTGGAACTCTCATATATTACTCATGGCACTGCAAACATGACACCGTACTTTGGGAAACTGGCAGTTTCCTGTGAAGTTAAATATTTGGGGAACCCCCCCAACGCCTGGCATTTATTTATAAATAATTGTTTATTCTTACATGTTTAAACTTTAGTCACTTTCAAAATACTCTTCATATGATGCAATCAATACACCTATCAAGATGCTTTTTTCACTGCTCAAAACAGTTTCTGAACTCATTAGTTTTGATGCTTTTTAGTGCTTCTGCCATTTGTTGTTTTATCTCTTCCATGTTGGCAAAATGTTCCCTTTTGAGGATTTTTTAAATCCAGGGAGGCACAAAAAGTTCCAGACAATATCAGGTGAATAGGGAGGGTGGGGCATGTGTGTCATGCTTTTTTTGATCAAAAACTGCTGAACATTCAGTGTAGTATGGGCAGGTGCGCTCATAAATTACCCATCACAAAATGGGCAAATATGTTGAAAAGATCTCCAAAAGAAATTTACTGAAGACTGACAGCCTCTCATGACAATGCTGTCTGATACAGTGATGCTGATGGGTTCCTAGAACACTTATCTGGGGGGCGGGGGAAGCCTGTACTACAAGGGGTCCATCCTTCAAAAAATAATTCTCTTTTTGGGGGGGGTTCTTCCCTTGTATACTTACCATTAGACAAAGCAGTCCTAACTAACTCCTTGGCATTTGCTTAAGGGAAATGAAAACACATGCCTACACAAAGACCTGTATAAGTCTATCAGTTTTTGAGTAGATAAACAAATTGTGGTACATCTGTATAATGGAATACTACTTAGTTGTGAAAAGGAACAAACTACTGATACAGCAACATGGGTGAATCTTAAAGGCATTATGATGTGATGAAGTAGGAAAAAAAAGACTGCATATTGTATGATTCCACTTACATAACATGGTAGGACAGACAAAACTGTAGGGCAAGACAACAGATGAGTTGTTTGCAGTGCTGGGTGAAGGAGGAAGGAATTGACCACAAAGGACACGGGGAACTTTTGGGTGTGGTGAAAGTGTTCTATATTGTGACTGTGGTAGGAGTTAACATGATTGTGTAACGTTTGCCAAAACTTACAGAGCTGTACACCTAAAATGGATAAATCTTTCTATATTGTTATTTTCTAGCTATACTCAAGTAGTGTTAAAAAATAACATGCTAATTTTCTTCTTTTGCAGAGTATTGCACTCTACATACTTGGTGATGAGAGCTCTGTTTTTGATGAAGTTTCACAATATTTATCCAGAATAACTATAGGTAAGATGGTATAACATTAGACCCTTCAAAATAAATTTTTACCAATGTCAAAACCATAATTGAAATTAAAAACTTAAAATTTAAAAAAATATTTCCTTTAGAGGCCATGTCTTCTCTCTAGTACTGTTCTAGTCTACAGTTCACAACTGACTCTCAGATACCAGGATTACTTAAAATCTAACAAATCTTATATTTTCGGTGTGCCTAAAAAGGACTTTTTTAGCTTCAAGGAAATTATTATACAATTGAGACTTTGAATCGCACGGGTCACTTTATGTGAATTTTTTCCAACCAAATGCATATTGAAAATACTTTAGTCTCAGGATGTGAAACCGTCTAGCAGGTTCCACAGGGCCAGCTGTGGGATTTGAGCATGCATGGATTTGGTTAGAAATATGTGGGAAGTCCTGGAACCAATCCCCCATGTATACTGAAGGACAGCTGCACCTTCCAGCCTGCCACAGTTCTGTTTATTGATTTTTAGGAGTTACTTGTTAATTAATTCCTATTTCCAAATGTCTTCTACATGTTGTGTATTTTCTTTACCAGGATGCTTATCAAAATAAAGTTTCATTTTGTTTCCTTTTAGCCCCCCAGAAGTCACAAGCAGAGCAAGAGGAAAATAGGTGACTTCTATTCATATTGTGATTTTATATTGAAAATTTAGAGCAATTACGTTTTACTGTTCTATTTAATAAATTTGTATTTTATTCTTGTATAGGTTTAGTTTTAGGCATTCTGCATCAGTTTCTAGCCTAGCTGAAAGATTGGTTGTCTGGATGGCTAATGTCGGTAAGAGCTTCTTTGTTAACTCTTTGTTAGGCCCTGTTTTCTCTGGACTAGCTAGAACTGGGAGGCATGAGGAGAGAGGGGCTCTGGCTTTAGGAACGGCCTCAAAAGGTTGAAATTATGATTTATCAAGCTGTATTTCCTTTTTCTCACAATCACACAACTAATAATACAATAATATTTGGGATACCAGCATATTTATTACTCCTCATTGTGTAAGAAATCTTTGTTATTCACCTCAGACCAGTCAAGACGGTGGCTATGTAAACTGGTCTTAGAACAGAGAACTCTAATCACTACATATTCAAACCTGAAGTCATTGTGGTACTCAGATATCAGAAATAGTATTTCTGACAAAGTCTAAAGGCAACTGTATAAACATTTCAGTGTATGCTTTTGAAGGATAAAGGCCAGGGATTTTAGGCACCAAGATGGGCATTCATCTGGGAAGGGGAAAATGGAGGAAAAGTCCTCTGTATTCCCTATCCTCAAAACCTGTGCTCCTAGGTTTTAAATTAAGTAGAGTGCTAAAGAATTTTTTTTCACAAATAACTGCAAAAAATAAAAATTACTGATATTAAGATATGACTAAAAAATGAGGATGACATATAAAATACAATGTTAAAAAGTAATGCTTTAATGAATTACAGGATGTTTCTGAATTCTGAATAAAGTATGTTCCAAATGGAGTTCTTCACAATTCCTGTTTGTATGCCACTATGAAAATGGCAGTAACTGTCATATAGTGTACATACAGAATACCTGTGTCTCCCAATGAGTTCTGTCCATTTGTAGATCACATAATATTGAATATGTTATTCCCATATCAGGAAACATTTTTTTGCCTCAGTAGTTAATCTTTTTATATTATAAAAAATGCATAATACTGTAAAATGTAGCAAATCACTACAGGAAAATAAATCTTAATGAACTTGAGGATTTAAAAGAAATTTAAATATGTAATATGTTATACATACAGAAGAATGTAAAAAATTCTTATGCTTAGTTTAGAGAATGGTATTAAGGTGAATGTTGATATACTAGTTACCCACCCTTAGAAACAAAACATTACCAGCATAGTAGAAAGCCTCTGTGTATTAGCTCTTGGTGGTCGCCTCCTCCCGCACACCTCACTGCTCTAGGTAACCACTACCCTACCTACATTTTGTATTACCATCACCCTGTTTTTC